AGAGCCGAAGTGCAGCTGACCTGCTCCAGTGCAGGTCTTGGCTTATCTTTTCCTCTCCCCGTGTGAGCTTGCTGTGCAGGACTGTTGAATTTCTGTTGGAATTACAGCCCTGTAATGAAGCATGGGATGGCACAGTCATTTTACCGAGCAATGACTACTCACTTCCAATCTTTGACCTCCTTCCAGGGTTTGATAGCATTGCATAAAAAAATTAAGTTGCAGCTTTATTGTTTCATAATGCAGCGTCATGCTTGCTCAGATATTTGCAATGTAGTTCCTCCCAAAAGCAATGTGGGAGTGGCTTGCTTTTACCTTGTTTTACACCACAGGAAAAAAATAATTTCTCAGAAAGCTTTGTAATAGCTAAGCCAGAAGAAAGGAACAGGTAATTTTTGCTAAGTGCAGGCACTTCAGATTTGAGGCCATATTCACTCCCAGCTAATTGATAATAATCCTGTAATGTATGGGGAATCCCAAGGTAGCCTCCGGATTATGACTCCCTTGGTAGCCATACTCTACTGCCAAGAAGTCCTTTTAAGTTTGTTTATTTGTTTGTTTTTTAAAGTACTTAGAAAGTCCTTTATGCTGGTGCCTGGTAGATTGGTTTGAAATGCTGCAGGAAACTGCATAAATTGCATCTGCAGGAAGGGACTAGGTGAGATGATGGTTTCCTGAACAACTTTGTTGTTGTGGTGGTCTGTACTTTTTCTCTCAATACCCATCTACAAACTGAGAGATACACTTTACTCAGCTTTTAATCATAAGCTTTTCTCCCAGTGTACCTGGGAGCATAGCGGTTCCTGCTTAAGAATGGATATAAAAGGAAACAAGTCCCACAGCCAAATCTGCAAATTAATTGTGATTGGCAGCAAGATGAACTGTTAAGCTAACTCTGAATTTTAATTTGACTTATTTGTAACTGACAGGCTTCTACGATGATTTTGTCCTCAAGGTTACATTTGGGCAAGCCCAGGCTGGGAAACCATACCGCATGGCTGTTGGGGTTACTTAAGGAAACTAAACTTTGCTGATTTGACTTATGCTCCCTTGAGTGCTTTACTACTCTTCTGCTTTAATGTGAAGATTTGGGATTTCAGGTGTCACCACCAGCTCCTCAGCCTCCAGTCAAACGCTCTTGATTTTCTCAAACATGGCTATCCGGCCCAGAAGGCCAACCGCATCCTGGGATGTTATCAAGGGAAGTGTGGTCAGCAGGTCAAGAGAGGTGATTCTCCCCCTCTACTCTGCTCTTGTGAGACCCCACCTCGAATACTGCGTCCAGTTCTGGTGTCCCCACCATAAGAGAGACACAGATCTGTTGGAGCGTGTTCAGAGGAGGGCCACAAAGATGATCCAGGGGCTGGAGCACCTCTGCTACGAGGACAGGTTGCGGGAGCTGGGATTGTTCAGCCTTGAAAAGAGAAGACTTTGGGGGGACCTAATAGCTGCCTTCCAATACCTGAAGGGAACCTACAGGAAGGCTGGGGGGGAACTTTTTACAAGAGTGTCCACTGATAGGATAAGGGGAAATGGGTTTAAGTTGAAGGAGAACAGATTTAGATTAGATTTTAGGAAGAAATTCTTCAGTACGAGGGTGGTAAAACTTTGGAATAAATTGCCCAGAGAGGTTGTGGATGGCCCCTCTCTGGGGGGGTTTAAGGCAAGGGTGGGCGGGGCCTT